TAGAACATAAACTATAAATTTTGTTAGTATTCATGCGAATATATTATCACAGTGAAGAAATTTATATATACAACTCAAGATTTTAGCGAAACTTCTAAACTACTGTTGTATTTGGAAGTTCTCACAACGAAAGGGGCAATTACACTGCAGGCACCTAGTTAATTCTAATTTTTACGATCAGTTACAACTTAAGATCATCGGTATAACTTCCCATCAAACTATGACGAAGACTAAAATAAAATTCGGCAAAGGTTTACTGGTGCATTATTGCTACTGGTAAGGGAAGAAATTTATTTGGTACAGAAAAATAAATTAACAAGTCGCATAAATAGTTAAGTCGAAAATACAATCACAAAGAAGTTCTTATGGTTAATAGTTCCTATCACGTACTTATTTACATTCCGAGCCATGTTTTTTATCCCAAAGAAAACTACAAAAATATACCGGTTAAAAAACCGGGTTCTTACTTAATCTGTTGTCTGTGCACATTTCTGGCTTCGTTTAATTCGCTCGTGCCGTTTGCCTCGCCTAGGGAATGAAATTGTTGTGTTATTATGGAAAGAACTGAAACATACTTCTAGGTGCACTTAGCTGTGGTGAGCTAAGCTTTCTTAGTTTCCACATCAGCAGCGGTGGCCTACTTACCAGTGTTGTTCTGAATAATTTCTACCATTTCATCTATTGATGGTGATTGCAGTATCACTGGATTCAAGCGCTCTTCACCTACTGGGGACAATCTTCTGGCCTACAGATAAAAAATCATCCATGAGCTACTACAGTGATGATTGTGAAACATCTTGAATGACTTTGTGACATTCTTCACCGTCTGGAGTTACACGGAGCATTGATTGACAGTTCAGGAACTTAGAACTTGAGCGTCACATCTTAGTTAAAATCCTCACGGTTTTCGATTCACTGTTAGAACTTGAGATTCACGCTCACGATAAAATGTACACTGAAACATCACAAACATGTATTTAAACCTCTTGTCCTTCAACAATTCGCTTTAGGCATGAACGTAATGCGTATGGGTAATTTGAAAAGGGATAAAGTTATTCTTTCCCAATTTTAAAAGTTCATTTAGCACACTCGAATTCAGTTCATCTTCCAAAACAACCGTTCAATGCTTCACGTTAAAACGCCTTCCTTACGTCGACTGAAATGTTTCTAAAACATGAATCACTACAAACAGCACTGCATAATTAATAAAAACGTTGTTCACTGCAATGACCATTTGGTAATTGAAGAAAGTACTACATTTCGTGTTAATCCTAGCATAAAACAGCAATTCAAACAAACTTCGCGTGACTAGAACTGCTAAGTTATTCTTAATGCTCTGTTTTCTGAGTCTTATTAACTTTCAAAAGAAGACTGGGATGTTTAGTCTGGTAATTGGTATCCCAGATCAAGTAATAAAGCAGCAATTAAGCCGACGTGTACATTATAAAGCAGAGCAAGCCAAATCAATGTTTTTCTCAATGATTTTATGATTTCACTGGATGAAAAGACCACTTAAATATGAAGTCGATGGAAATCCATGTTGCACGACGGACAACCAACAAACCCACGGAAGTTAAAATGTGTGATGGTCGCCTCACACCAGGCCGTTTCACGGTAGCTGGTAGGAAACGGCAGGTGGCTTTGAGTAAACCTGCCGTTTTACCACCCTGTTAGACAGATCCTTGCTAAAGTTTACGATCTTAAAACAAAAAACGATATGCTCAAAGTGGATAAAATGGATAAAAGCGTGTGGTATAGAAATTAAGGATATACTGTTGCTAGCCTCGATCTGGAGAATTGTTATAACTGGATAGTAAGCTGAGGCAAAACCACAGTTCATTATTAACTCAAACAAATCTCAAAATGGAAAGTAATCTACTGAACGTCAAGCTTAGTATTGGTTCTCTGGGTCAAAAATGGTACAGATTTTGATTAAGAATACAGATAATGCCTGAGAAATCCATTTCACGTTAGAACCTAACTTCCTGTTCGTAAAGCGGGCGAAAGTAAGTTAATTGCTTTCTTTCGGGAGGTAATTTCACGACTGTTCTCCTAAATTTCAATGTTTATGAGAAAAAATCACCAGTGTGAATTAGGAATAACTAGGGTTATAGTGGTGGTCGGTGGAGGTATGGACTGAGTGCTTCCATTCTTTAGTTTTCAGTAGTAAGGATAGTAGGTTGGTGAACCTGTATTGCTTCCAGTGAAGGTCCAGCTTCTCCTTAAAAATATTCATTGCTGGGGCTGATACCACTTGTTCAGGTAAGTCATTCCAATCATTGACTGCTCCATGAGAAAAACGGGACCCCACTTTAAATTCATTAAATCGTGGTTTATGAACCCTTTTGCTATGACCTCGTAGATAATTAGTGCTGGAGAGAGCAAAAAAGATAAGACACATTAACACTCAAATCATAATTAAAGATACAAAATGCCAATATAAAGTCACCTCGTGTCCTACGATACGAAAAGAGGAAAAGGTTTAGGCGTTTAAAGCGCTCATCGTAAGGGAGTCTAGAAAGACCCTTCACTAATTTCGTTCCCACACGCTGGACACGCTCAAGGGAGTTAGTATCCTTTACCAGACACGGGCTAGCTGCTTGGATACAGTACTCTAAATGTGGTCTAACATATATGGGATATAAAATTCTAAACATTTCCTCATCAAAAGATTTGAACGCTCGGCGAAGTGACCATAACGCACGAAAACCATTGACAGCGGCTGCTTTGCAATGCTTAGTTGTTTTTAAATCATGACTTAATATTACTCCTAAATCTTTATGCTCTTGAACGCATAGAAGAGGTTTACCCTCAATAGTGTAACGGTAACTATTACCGTGACCGATGTGCATTAGCACACTCTTCCTAGCATTGATTTCTAAGCCCCACTCTCGAGCCCATCTAACTAAATCGTCTAAGTCAGCTTGAAGATCCAGATGATCAGCCTCACTTTTTACTGTTCTCCAGATTTTTACATCATCCGCAAACAATAATGTCGACGACCTCAGCAACAGCGGTAACTCGTTAACATAGAGAAGGGAGAGTAAAGGACCTAAGATGGTGCTTCGGGGTACACTACTTTTGACCGGCTTCCAATCGGATAGCGTTCCGTAGACCCTCACTATCTGTCCGTGGTCACACAAGAATTTTCCTATTCACTCCTGTACAGAACCTATTATTCCGAAGATCGTGAGCTTCTGCGTAAGACCTAAGTGTAAAAACTTGTCAAATGCTTTGCTAAAATCTATGAATATCACATCGACAGACAGACCATTATCTAAGGCTACTGTTCACTCCCTATTCAATAAGTAAGTTAGTCAAGCATGAACGCTTGTTACGAAATCCGTGTTGCTCAGGAGCTAACAGACTGTGTAAATCTATGTGGCTTAGCAACCTAACCCGAATTATCTTTTCAAGTAACTTAACGACTATGCTAGTTAGACTGACAGGTCGGTAGTTAGATACTATACGTCTCTGACCGTCCTTAAATATAGCACTGACTATAGCGTCCTTCCGATCTTTAGGTAGTTGAGCGAGTGAAAGGGACACGTTGAAGAGTGTCGCGAGCGGTTTTGAAATAATGTCCGCAAGAGATGACAGCAACCGTGGACGTAACCCGTCAGGGCCCGGTATCTTACCAGGTTTGAGGTTAGTTATCGACGGAAGGACAGTTTCCCTAGTCACCTGTACAAATTCAATGGTTGGTATCTCGGTGTGAGTGGGACAAGTATTTGTTACAATATACGTAGACTTCGATAAAATGGTTTGAAAAAGTCTCTGCTTTTGCTCGATCTGATTCAGCTAGTATATCTGAATTTTCGTGAAACAGTAACGGGGGAATACCATCACTACGTTTCGCTCGCCGCTTAACATACGAAAACAATCGTTTCGGACAAGTACGGCTATCATGTACTAACCGCCGTTCGTAAGTGGTACGGGATTTGGCTATGGTTTTCTTACAGATATTACGGAATTTTCGGTACTCACGCCTAATTGATGCATGACCTGTCAACAAGAATAAGTCCCCGAAATGTTACCTACGCTTTAACAGCTTCCGGGTTTTCTTATTAATCCATGGAGTGTAATGTGATAGCCTACGTGCTGACCATGGGATAAACGGATACGTGATGGACTCGAATGAAGCCTTAAACTTATTCCATTCGTCATTGATCGATCCATCTGCGTCGACCGATCAATCAGTCGAGATAGCACAGTCTCTGATTGCCGAGACCTTGGTTCGCCAGATATTGGGACGGGGTAGAGCAGATACGAATTGTGTACCATGTGTCCTAAACTTAAAGTGAATTACAATGTGATCACTGTTCACACTGTGCACACTGAATAACGGTAGATAAAAGGTCGCTATCGAAATCACTACCTGGAGCTGTAAGATCTATCTAGTTGATATGCAGTGGGTTGAAGTCCCCAATGATGAGACAACATTCTACCATACTCCAAGAACAAATACGTCTTAAGATAAAGTCGTCGGCAAGACAAAACGGACTACGGTATATTCCCCCTATAGTCACTAACCCACTTCTAGATTTATTCTTACAACATGGGACCTCACATGTGCCACTAATATGAGCCTCCGATATTGTGGATTGTAAACGAAAGTAATCCCTAACATATAATATTATACCTTCCCCTTTGCGACTTGAAACTCTATCACTTCTAATACAGATATAACCTGCAATGATGGGAGAACAGTTTATGTCTACGGTGAACCAAGTTTCTGTAACAACGATCATATCAGGACATAATTCTTCAACTATCAGACTTAGCTCGTAAGTTTTATTTTTAAGACTACGAGTGTTCGTGTAACACATACTTAATGTGTTTTGGCAGTCAGTCGTTCTTCCGAACGAATAATGAGTAAACTAATAGAATTTCGTCTCTAGGATCACCAGAAATCTTACACTCTTTTATTCTCACTGAATAGGATTGAATTTCAAGGACAGACATTTTAAGTACAGTATCAAAGTCACTCAGACGACCCTGCCAAATATGTGCAGCTTTTAAAGTTTCCTGACCATGAACCAATAGAATGTCGACATGTCCGCAACAAATATCAGCAATTTAAATTTCAACTTACTACTAGATGAGATTGAGTCAGGTAGCAGTGGTTCGTTAGCAAATGTTATTCGCAAGCTACGAGAGAGTGAGTTAGCAGCTTTCAAAGCTCGTATGGGAGGTCCAACAGGTGAACTACTAGCCAGTTTCATAGCATCCCTTGATCTGCGCGCATCAGAGCATAATGCAGAAATAGAAAAGACCTGCAGCTATCACTACCAAAGTTTCGTTGATTCCACACGTGAGTTACTTGAAATCCAGCAAAATGCAGAAAAGCTTGAAAAGGATTTACAAACACTAAATGTAGAGCTGGAAGTTACAGTTAATAAGGTTAGACTCATTTTTTCTATAAATAACTTGGCTATTCCAATAATGCATCTTTCGATAGTTCTAATCCATAAATTTCTTAAGTGTTGACAGTTAAAAATGGTAATTTATATATATATATATATATATATATCATAGCTTGGATGCTAAACTCAAGATATAATATCCGAATTTTTCCTTTCACCCATAGCTAGCGTTGTTCTGCATAAACTCGGAGGGAATTTTGTGATTTTCAGCTATGCACATGAAATCGACATAGTGTACCGTAGCATCGACATATATATGACCTGGTTTATTGAGCCAGAGACTCATAAGCAAGATATGTTCTGTGGGGTATTCCTAAAATTCTTGAATCTCTAGATCAAGTCTGATTTTTCACTAGACCAACTGTTTGTGTCCACGTGTAAAAGCTACTAATGTTTCCAGCTAAAGGCTTAAGTACGTAAAGACAATATCCGAGCCAAAGGGAAAAATTTGACGTTAAATTCCAAGAAACTCTAGAGCTAAATAAGTGTCCTTATGAGGAGAGCTTTTCACGACATTTAAATATTGTACACAATACAATCGGTTATACATTGATACCAATTTGTGGATATTCCTCATCTATTCTGTTGGGACTAAACTTCAACGACTACTTTGGTGACTCCGAGTATTCTAAGTCAGTAGGTCAAGATTTTGTCTCTTATCCGTATAATAAAATCTAAGGATGTTATGTAACAGAGTCGATCAGGGGAGTGTAGCAAATCACATATGGCAGCATCTAAATGTTTATTTTAAAGATAGATAAAAAGTTTTTAGATCGTACTTCTAGCTGTGGTTTTTAAAATCTAGAAATATGGGGGGGGTGCTTACAAAGTCGAGAAGACGAAAAGAAAATGTCCGGTGCTTTAACCGGGTTGGTAGTCACGGAGTTGGAAAACCCCGATCTCAAACCATTGCTGGACATGGGCTCCAGGATTCTGAGGGAACAAAAGGCGTATGAACCTATTGTTGGTCATCGGTTATCATGGAACTACATCCCCTTACGTTGCTCCATTGCCTTGTGGATCACACCTCTAGGTCAAAGACTCGGGGTGTGGCCCTCTGATAAAACCACGTGCTCCCGTTCGGGCACCCGGGCAGTATCTCAGCCCTCACATAAATCGAATGATTTATGTAGCGTATATCTGTTCGATGCTTCCTTGTACCAATATTTATGTGCTCAAATAAATAAAATATCCCACAATATCAAAAAGTTAACACAGTGATGTCGTGGCTCCTACTTTATTTACTGTCAGGGAAGCTAATTTTTTATGGATTCAAATCTATAATGAAGATATATTGCTTGATTTGAGGGAAACCATTATTATTTTTAACGTATAATTATAGTAAGAAGTATCAGTGAATGACGTTTTGTAAATAATATCAGTTGCACTGTTGCAGGAATTGTTGTGAGACATCTCAGGAACTCTTGACCATATAGCTGTTGAGTATGAAATTAGTAAGATGTAGGAGGGTGATATACAATCAAGTTCATCTGAATTATACTCTCATCTCGTTAAATAATAATAGTTGGTCCTTAACCGTAAATCTATGAGAAAGCAACACATCTATTTACGTATGGTTGTTCTCACCACTTAGTCCTCACAACTCTATTTTTGATTGATTAATTTTACGGATTCATGAAAAAGCCTTTAATGTTTATTTAAAACATGTGATGTGATGTGATTCTACAGTCCACCCAGTTTTCTGTGCTGGAGAAGACAGAAATAAGTTGGGAAAATTTCACACGAAACCTTGGCAATAATCCATTTTGTGCTTTACTTTATCGAGAGGAATAAGTTTCTCAGTTGAGGTCCTTGTGGTATTCATTAATAATGATTAAAAACCTTAAAAATGGCTTAAAGTCGGTCGCACTGTGGTAGATACAACTATCACTTATCTCCCTCCAAACATTGTGCTTTTATCCACACACTTCGCGATTTTGTGTTATTTTTAAAATGCATGCTTAATATTCATTTTCTATCATCACAGACGTGATTAATGTTTAGGTCCTCTTTACTATTCTCATCATTCTCTTGTTTTACTAATGAACTATGTGACAAATTGGACTGACTCACATTTGTGTTCTGTATTTATTAATATTTTGTGAATTATGTCGAGGATTTTATTATTTAATACTTTCATTCATCGATTTCACTCTTTCAGACTTTGTTTATTGACTTATTCATGTCAGTTCTAATTCCCTTTTGTTTTTTCTGTTTGTTTCATTTTACATTGTTGATGCAAATAGTGGTAACATTTACCAGTGTACATTCATTAGTCGTAGAGTCTGGCACAAATGTGCCTCTGTCCTGATTTTTAATATCAGGGTTTTATAGGAGGTTATTTGAAATAGCTGTATTGCTAATAATAGTGAGAAAAGCTAAACATTAGGAAGTGTAGTTACACATTTGTATCAGCTCCTAGGTTGTTCACGATCGCCTCATTCAGATTGTAATCCTTTATAATAGTTTTGATTACCTGACGTTTATGAACTTGACACAGTTCCTCATACCTTGAACTTTCCATGCTTTATTAAATGATTATTTTCTTGTTGTGAAATATGCTTCATAAGTTTTCAAAAAGCTCCTAATTTCGATGTCGTCAAATACAAGTCTTAGCCAATAAAATTTTAGAAACAAATAAAAACAATCCACTAGATGTCAAGCTTGAAACAGATCTTACTAATTGGAAATAATTATTTTTCTCATGACGAAAGTTAACAATTTCTAGTTACGTTAGGGTTATTCTTCCTTTTCGAAGTGTAGTTTGCTAGCACGTAATTTTTTAAAAAGATGTAATACCTTCAACTGCACCTTTATGACGGAATGTAGCTATATATTTCATATATATCGTCATTGATGGTTCACATAAACGGAGATTGTAAACAAAGCTAAATATCTATGGGATATCTGATCCTGTAAGTAAACTATGGAAAACTGCAATCTAATATTCGTCAAAGAAATCGGTTTTTTACCTATAATAGGAGTGAGTGGCAGGATATTTCGAAGTGACAAGTCTCAAGTCCAAGCCTCAATAAGAAGATCAAAAACGAATATCAGTAAACTCATTTGGTGATTGCAGATGCATCCCAGATTTTGTTGCGGGTTACGAAATATAACTTAAGTTTTTATTGTTATTCATGATACCTATTTATTTCCCAAATTACCTACTTTTTTACTGTTTTCATTTTTTCTTTTGAATTTCTTATTATATGCTCTATAATATCATTAATGAAATTGATCCGCTTGCATTCTTTAACCTCTTTGTTTCGGTTTGTCTTGACGTATATTGATGCAATGTGACTGAATAAACTAATCTCCCATTCTAGCCTGGGAAATGGGAGGTGGAAATAACATTCTCGTCTACTGAATTCTCGGGTATTGATCTCTTTCCAGGAGGTCCACTTATCGACTTAGAATACGCAGATGACATAGTCCTGTTTGGTGAAGACGCTGACAAAATACAGAATCTTCTGGTAGCACTGAGCAACAATACCAGGATGTTTGGAATGCACTTCTCTCCCTCTAAATGCAAGTTGTTGCTTCAGGACTGGTCTGCGTTAACACCTGAACTAAGGATAGGGAGTGAAGTAGTCGAACGCGTTGACAACTTCACTTATCTTGGAAGTCTGATCAGCCCTAATGGGTTGGTATCGGACGAAATCTCAGCACGGATTCGAAAAGCTCGTTTGGCTTTTGCCAACTTACGTCACCTATGGCGAAGGCGAGATATCCGTCTATCAATAAAAGGACGAGTATACTGCGCGGCAGTCCGTTCTGTTTTAATTTACGGCAGCGAAACATGGCCATTAAGAGTAGAAGACACTCGTAAGCTATTAGTATTTGACCACAGATGCCTTAGAAATATTGCTGGCGTCTGCTGGGATAACCGGGTAAGTAATAGTGAGGTTAGACGCAGGGTATTAGGAAAGGATGGTAAATCAGTTGATGAGGTTATGAATCTCCATCGACTGAGATGGTTGGGCCACGTGTTACGTATGCCTGAACACCGATTACCACGACGTGCAATGCTATCCGGTATTGGAAATGGTTGGAAGAAAGTTAGGGGCGGCCAAACCAAAACGTGGCATCAGTGCTTGAAGTCACTAACTTCTAGTCTGAGCCATGTTGGTAGATGCAGACTACTTGGTTGGGGTCCGCGTGACTATCATAACCGATGGTTGGAGACTCTTGGTGACATGGCTCAGAATCGAGGGGGTGTTGTTTACGAAAATGAGAGGACGAAAAGCGAACGTCCGGCGCTTTAACCGGATCACAAACCAATGGTGCACATGGGCTCCAGTATCCTGCGGGAACAAATGGCGTATGAACCAATCGTTGGTCACCGGCTACCATGGGATTGCATCTCCTTACGATGCTCCACTGCCTTGTGGGTTAGACCATTTGGTCAAAGGCTCGGGGTGTGGCCCCCTAAGACAACCACCTGCTTCGGTTTGGGCACCCGGGCAGTATCACAGCCCACACACAAACGATGAACTCTATGACTATGGCAACGAATTTTCTCGCTCCGATATATAATCAATCGATTCCAATAATTATTACTATTATTGTCATTATTAATACTATTATTATTACCATTATTGTCATTATTATTATTATTATTATTATTATTATTATTATTATTATTATTATTATTATTATTATTATTATTATTATTATTATTAGTACCATTATTGTCATTATTATTATTATTATTTTCCACATTGTTCTCCCTCTTTTATACTTATACAGCGGCTCGTCTTTGGTGGAAATTCGACTGTATCTAAACGTTCTCGAGTCACTGTCCGGTTGAAAATTGTATGTTACCACCGATTACGAGAACTGAAGCAGTTTTTCTGAAACCACGTGCACCATTCAAACTGGCTGCCTTCAACGTTCGCACACTAGTGCAGGTCGGACAACAGATAGGGCTGGCTATGTCTTTGGAAAGTCTTAATATTGATGTTTGTTGTCTATCCGAGACCCGTATTCAAGACTCTGGCGAAGTACTACAAATTCGATCTCCATCTGTCGCTTCGAAAAGCTTGTTTCACGTGCGCTTATCCGGGGACCCTGTGGCATCTTCGTTTGGTCTTGCTGGCGTTGGTGTCGCACTAAGCGCTAGAGCTGAGGCAGCACTAGTTGATTGGATCCCCATTAACAGTCGGTTATGTGCTGTTAGATTAGAAAGTTCCATCAAAGTGAGAAGAAATCGGCGTGAGAAACGATGTCTTTTCGTCATCTCCGCCTATGCCCCGACAGATTGCAGCCCGGATGCAATCAAGGATGAGTTTTACCACCAGTTATCTGTTCTTCTCCAGAAAGTGCGTTCGACAGATATTGTAGTACTAGCCGGAGACTTGAATGCTCAGGTCGGGCGTCTAGGCACAGAAGAGAGTCGTTTAGGTGGCCGATGGGGACTCGTTGGTCACAGGTCAGATAACGGGGACCGTCTATTGCAACTGTGCACAGACCACAACCTGTTTCTGGCTAGCATTAACTTTCGGCACAGTCATCGCCGATGTGCCACCTGGCGTCCTCCCTCTGCATCCCAAGCCTGGACTCAGATTGATCACATCGCGATCAGCTTCCGCTGGCGTGGTTGTGTAAAAGACTGCCGCTCCTTTTGGAGTACCTATCTGGACTCTGACCATGCCTTGGTCTGCGCCAATCTTGCCTTACTTTTCAGTGGACAACGAAGTGACCGCCACCAACGGATTGATGTTAGCAAGCTGGTTGCAACTTCTGTTGCAAATAAGTATCGAACCGAGTTAGCCTCTAGGCTAGCTACCACTCCACCGAAAAGTATAGATGAGCATTGGTTGCAATTGCTTGACGCCATGAAAATGGCGGGAACAGTCAGTTGTGGGTTTGCGAAACGTCCCGCTTTTAAGCACTGGGTTTCTTCTGGTTCCTTACAACTCATTGAAGCCCGTCGGTCTACTCCGGGTGACCGTGAGTTTGACCATAAACGAAGGATGTTACGTAGGGAAATTGGGCAAAGCTTGCGTAAGGACCGAGAAGCCTGGTGGTCGGAGCGTGCTAATGAGCTGGAAGCAGCAGCTGCATCTGGTAACTACCGGAAGCTCTTCCAGCTCATCCGAGCCACTGGCAGCAAGAAGTCTGGTGTGAGTGAAACAATCTGCGAGGATGATGGGATGCCAATCACTAACATCCATCGACGTCTTGGACGATGGGCAGAATTTTTCGAAGGGCAGTTCAACTGGCCTGCTGCTCCGGCAACATCGGTCAGACTGTCCTGCCCTCCATGGCCGGTGACGACTGATCCACCAAACGAGGAGGAAGTCCGCAAGGAACTCCAACTCTTGAAGCGTTACAAATCACCTGGCCCAGATGACTTACCTCCGGCTCTTTTTAAAGATGGTGGTGACTTTTTGACTAAGGAATTGACGACGTTGTTTACAAAGGTTTGGGAACTAGAGTGTGTACCAACGTCATGGAATGAGTCGATAGTTGTCCCTATCTTTAAAAAGGGTTCACGTCGTTCCTGTAACAACTATCGGGGGATAAGTCTACTTCCGATTGCGTCCAAGCTATTGGCTTCCGTCATACTTCGTAGGTTGTTCAAAACTCGGGAAAGATTGACTCGCGAGGAGCAGGCTGGGTTTCGTTCTGGTCGAGGATGTATTGATCATATCTTCACCCTCCGCCAAATGTTAGAACATCGCCATACTTATCAAAGGCCAACAATCGTAGTGTTTCTTGACATCAGGGCTGCCTTCGATTCGTTGGACAGGACTGTTCTCTGGGATTGTCTATTGAATAAGGGTGTGCCTGAGAAGTTTATTAACATCCTAAAAGCCCTATATAAAAACACCTCAGGCAGAGTGAGGACATACAACCACCTCTCTCCATTGTTCCATTCGAGTAGTGGGGTTAGGCAGGGTTGCCCAATCTCACCATTCCTCTTCAACTTTGCCATCGATGACATTCTGGAAACAGCTCTGATGAATGTAAGTAATGGTGGTGTGGATCTGTTACCTGGAGAAAGACTTCTCGACCTTGAGTATGCGGACGATATTGTCTTACTGTGCGATAATGCCCAAGGCATGCAATCCTCACTTAATCAGTTGGCAATCAGTGTCCGTAGGTATGGTATGTGTTTTGCACCTTCGAAGTGCAAAGTACTTCTACAAGACTGGCAGGATTCCAATCCTGTACTCACCCTGGATGGTGAGCAGATAGAAGTAGTCGAGAAGTTCGTGTATCTGGGTAGTTGCATAAGTGCTGGTGGGGGTGTGAGTGATGAGATCAATGCACGTATAGTGAAAGCCAGAGTGGCTTATGCCAATCTGGGCCATCTTTGGCGCCTTCGTGATGTTAGTCTGGCTGTAAAAGGTCGGATCTACAACGCGTCGGTGAGAGCAGTTTTGCTCTATGCTTGTGAAACCTAGCCTCTCCGAGTTGAGGACGTTAGACGACTCTCTGTGTTCGATCATCGCTGTCTCCGAAGGATTGCTGATATTCAGTGGCAACACCATGTCAGTAATGCAGAGGTTCGGCATCATGTGTTTGGGCACAGAGATGATAATTCAATTGGTGTCACCATCTTGAAACACCGACTTCGGTGGCTTGGACATGTTCTACGAATGTCGTCCCAGAGAATTCCACGTCGTGCATTATTTGCCGACTCTGGGACTGGTTGGAGAAAGCGGAGAGGTGGTCAGTGCATGACATGGTGTCGTGGTATGAAAGAAAGCTGCAAAGGACTGGCTTCTTTCGGTCCTTCACGACTCCCTGGTTGGGGTCTGAGAGATGGTGCTACACAGTGGCTAGAGACGTTATCAGATATGGCTCAGAATAGAAGCCAGTGGCGATCCTGCTGTAACCTTCTTTTACTTTCTTCATAAAAAGTGGTTGTGTCTCCCTTACTTGAAAGATTTCTTCTGATTGTACTTTTCCGTTCCATTGTTACGACCACACTAAATTACACCAATCTCTTCGTTATCGTTCTCTTTTGTGCTCCTTGGTTTTTTTTTCTTTTTCTATCTCTTCGAAGTTACATTGTTTTGTGTGGCGCATATATATTGGCGCTCTCTTGTACCAATATTTATGTGTTAAAATAAAATAAATAAATAAATGATTACCACGACGTGCAATGCTAACCAGTGTTGGAGATGGTTGGAAGAACGTTAGGGGCGGCCAAACCAAAACGTGGCATCAGTCCCTGAAGTCACTAACTTGTAGTCTGAGCCACGTTGGTAGATGCAGACTTATTGGTTGGGGTCCGCGTGACTATCGTAATCAATGGTTGGAGACTCTTGGTGACATGACTCAGAATCGACCACAATGGCGTCGGTGTATACACTCTGTCTTCCCTTTAACTAAGAGATTAAAATCGCTTCATATCTTTCTTTGTATGAACTAATTCTTTCTTCCTGTACTATATCTTTATTGCAATCTTTCTTTTATATATTACCACCTCTGAATTAACTACTTTTATGAATCCGGTGTCCATCTTGTTGTGTTAATGTGGTATGGCAACCTGGACCGATGCATATATGTGCCTGGTCCTACGTTGTAGCTGACTGACCATTCTAGCATCGTACGCTGGTCTATGTTTTGTTGAGAAAATTTTATAACTAAATAAAAACTACTATAATGTATTAAGGTTCATTTTAAGAAATATCGATGAAATGCATCTAACTAAAATTATGAATGTTTTCTAGGCTAGGTGAAAATGATGTTAAATTTACACCTTCCTAAGTTACGGAAAGTTCTTTTTTTTTTCAAAATACAAGGTCAGTTTTAGATAAAAGGGAAACCAATCTGTTATTGGGCATTTTATTGTGATGGAGTCACATGGCCAGATTACCAAGTTGTTAGGGATTCTGAAAATATCAGATGAATTTTATACTTTAAGCTCGTTTAAAGCAATAATCCAACTTCTGTATTTTATACATTATAACAATTCATATAACGCTTCATGACAAAATTTATAAACCTGCTATGCGGTATGTTGTTATTTATCTGCGGAAATTCGGTGGTTTTTTATTTAGTTTAGTGAATCGTGTGACAAATTAGCCGCTTGTAAACTCACTTTGGATCATGTTAATCAATGCATTGAGGCAATTCAAATCAGTCTTCCGATATTAGAACAATACTCTCGCATTGAGCAAAGTATTGCTGACGGAAGGTACTATCATGCCTTGAAAAATCTTGAAGACCTAGAGCATTCTCAACTGGATCTAATTCGCCCGTTCGCATTTTCTGAAATCATAATTCATCGCATACCGAAAACAAGAACGAGAATCAAGGTTTGTCTGGCCAGTACATTGATTTTAGCGTTTTGCTTTAAAACCCTTGTTAATTCTTGTTATTACTGATGACAAAGCATCTTTATAAAAAATGTACATTGACTTTGTTTTGTAACATATATATATATATATATATATATATATATATATATATATATATATATATATATATATATATATATATATATATATGAAGGAAGAATATTCCTTTCAGTGAATTCTCTTCAGGTACTTTGCAATTATATATGAAAAATAATAATCAAATCAGTGGCCAGGTTTAAGGAAAAATATATAGTTTAAAAATTGTAGTATGTGAATTTAGAATATTAAAGTACATGAAAATCGTTAATGTTTGGATGACTATCATGAAGTGTTACCCTGAATAAGTTTTTAATTTAAATGAAATCTTGAAATAAGTGATCAGAATAAATATGGTTCACACAGGGGGAAAGGGATTATAATGTAATTACAAATCAGAAATCATGTAATATATAGAATTATATGAATTAAGTACGAATTAGTTAATCGGGATGGATGTTGAATAAATTTCTCAAAGCGTTTGCAAGTGTTTTAATAATAATGATAATAGTGATGATAATAATTGTGATAATATATATGGTTAAGATAAGTTTAAGCTATGAAAATGCGAAAAAGAAGGTTGTGTGAACAACTTATTGCGTTGAAGGCAGTCAATGAGTTCCTGAAATAACGTAAACGAAAACATCTTTTGGATTTATAGGGAACTGTATTGAATCATGTCATTATCCGGAACTTTATTTTTTTCTTTATTGTAGAGACGCTCAATGTTGTATACGTTTACTTTCCACCCTGATATGTTTTATTATTTAGTAAATATTTGTTTGCTTTTAATTTTTCTTCTCCAGATATCACTGGTTTATATCATATGATCACATTTTGATTTAGCACTGAGTGGGAATTCATTGGTAGTAGAATTTCACAGTGGCAGTTCATTTTCCATCTAAGCTACATAGTATAATTTCAGAAGTCTTGGTATCATTATCATGGACTTCAAAATAAGGTGCTTAGCTATATCTTCTGAGGTTTATATATTTGAATATCGGGACAAATGTTTATATAATCGCTTGGTTTGATAAATATCATAGTTCGTTAATTCAGCGTGAAAATTCATCCATAGAAACCACTATGCCGTAATTCATCGTAAATATATTTTCTTTACTATTAGTAAACCTACAAAATATAAGTCATATAAAAATGCTTGTCATAATCATCTGTTGAATAGCGCTGAAAACCTACTCTTCGGTAGCACTTCTAGCGAGACAAAAAGAACATTAGCTTTTCTAAAAATTTAATTAAAAACATTCACATTTAAACGTTCGGTTAAATAATAGTTGGAAAAGAGTAAAAACGAACGAAAAAACTATAGCCGTGAACAACAAAAGTGGAGTAAAAATTAAAATGAACTGTGTGTATGTTATTTATCGAAGCAGAAACACTTCAATTCACCGGGCTTATTCACTGGTGAAAACATTCATCAACAGTTTTAAGGCCTATTCAAATACATTTCTTTGGACGATGTTTATCAAATCAATAAGAATATATATATAACTCCGCCCGTAGCTCTTCTAGGGCTGCTACCGATCCCAATCCCAGGTAAAAGAGGACGGTTGGGCGTGGGGCTAGCAACGGCTTTCTGTACAAAACAACTTTGCTAAAACAGAACGCTAACTAGAATAAACAAATTAAACGATTTAAACTCTGCCCTCACAGTTGAAGAAAGAATTATGACGCCTCACGATGAAAGCCGAGATTCTTCGGAAGTTACGAGACTGATGCCTATTCTAACGACCCGGGCAACAATTAACTTTGGTACGTAGAATGTTCGGACAATGTGGAAAACTGAGAGAACAAATCAAATAGCTATGGGATTGAGGAGATACAATTTGACGGTGCCCGGAATCAGTGAAACCCTTCGGATCCCACAAAACTACGTGGGTCTCACCGGACCACGCCACAGAGAACCAGATAGATCAACTCAACGAATTCGAGATAACTCATCGACAGGTTCTTAGCCTTACAAAATCTACTGAAAGAAGAAATTGCTATGAAAAATAACTAGAGAGGCATCAAAGAAGCACTAAATTCTTGTCAGGAGGTTCTGTGCTGCAAGAAGTGTAATAATAAAGAACGAGTCTCTATCGAAACTCTGTACAAGATTCAAGAAGAGTAGGACAAGATGACAACAACTAACAATAGCCGAACAAGAACAGAGAAAGACAAGGCATAAGCTGGATACACAGAAGCAAACAAGCAAGTGAAGAGTAGCATTAGAGCTGATTGGTAAAAAATACATTGAAGAGCTAACAACGACGGCCGAAAAAGCTGCAAGAGAAGGAAATATGAAACAGCCATATGATACAAAGAATAAATTAGCATGGAGATAAATTAAACCAGGGAGATCGGAAAGACGATCATGGAGATTCAAAAACAGCGGAACAGATGGCTAGAGTACCTCAAGGAACTGTTGAATAGACTAGCTCCATTGAATCCACCGGACATCAAAGCAGCACACACGGACATCCTTATACCGGTCACTCCACCAACGATCGAAAAAGTCAGGATGGCCATCAGACATGCCAGGAGTAGGAAAGCAGAAGGACCTGACAACATACCAGCCAAAGCACCGAAGTCAGATATAAAAGTAACTGTAAACATGCTCCACATTCTACTCAAGATTTGGGAAGAGGAACAAATGTCGACAGACTGGAAAGAAGGATACCTCATGAAAATATTAAAGTAAGGAGATTTGAGAAAATGTGAGAACTACAGGAATAAAACTACTATCGGTACCTGAAAAGGTTTTCAAAAGAGTGTTGTCGAACCGGAAGAATCAGTAGGTGTCCATCTTCGAGATCGGTATGTCGGATTCCGTAAGGCTCGGTCATGTACAGATCAAATCGTGACAATACGGATCACTGTTGAACAATCAATTGAATGGAACTCGCCACTATACATCAACGTATTTGACTATGATAAAGAAATTAACAGTGTGGATAGGAGGACTTTATGGAACCTTGTCCGACACTATGGACTACTCGAGAAAATGGTCAACATCATCCGGAATTCATATGACAGATTACACTGCGACGTCGTGCATGCAGGACAGCAGACAGACTCATTCGAAGTGAAGACTGGAGTTATCAAGGCTATTTACTCTCACCGTTTTGCATTTCTTGTGTTGGTTGACTGGATTATGAAAACCTCGACATCTTTGGGGTGGGGGAAACACGGAATACAATGGACATCTCATGATCATTTAGACGTTCTGAACTTCACAAATCATCTAGCTCTTCAATTCCATTTACACAAGCAAATGCAGGTGAAGACAATCACTGTAGTGGGAGCCTCTGCAACAGTAGGCCTCAACATACATAAGGCAAAAATGTAAGATCCTCAAATACAACACGAAGAACACCAACCCAATCACAATTGATGGAGAAACTCTGGAAGAGGTGAACAGTTTCACGTACCTGGACAGCACAATCGATAAATGAGAAGGATCAGGTGTAGACGCAAAGGTAAGAATTAGCAAAGCAAGGACGGAATTCCTACAGTTGAATAATATACGGGACTGGAAACAACTGCCGACCAATGTCGAAATCATGATCTTCAATACGAACGAGCTGAAAGTTGAAGAACTACTACAACCATCATCAAAAAGGTGCAAGTATTTATAAATAGCTGTCTACGCAAGATACTCAATGTCCGTTGACCGGATACCATCAGCAACAGCCTACTGTGGGAGAGGAAAAACCAGCTTCCAACTGAAGAGAAATGGGGAAAAGGCGCTGGAGGTGGATAGGACATACATTGAGGAAATCGTCAAACTGCACCGCGAGGCTATCGCTAACTTGAAATCCTGAATGGAAACGGAAAAGAGAAAGACCAAAGAACACAATGTGTCGGGAATCAGAAGCAGACATGAGAAGGATGACTAGCAACTGGAAAGCATTGTACAGGACAGAGTTATATGTAGAATACTGGTGGGTAACCAATGCTCCTCCAAGAGGGGAAACAGGTGTAAGTAAAAGTAAAGAAAAGTGCTAAGAATATAATGGGAAGTTCGCAGCTAATTCATTTAAATCAGAGGAAGAAAATGTATTAATTTTTAAAATTCATCCTTATAAACTAAGTTTAAGTAGTGTGTTGAAGATTTTTAAATGCTTCTTTTTATCCATACATGAAACTTTTATTGAGACATTGATAATGAATTGTAGTTCAAAAGAACAATCTTGGTATTATGTTGTATTATTTGAGTTGCAGGCTGTATTCGTGAAGATTTCGTTATGTCTTCCAAAATCACATTACTAGTACACATATAGAAAAATGTTTCAATTTTGCACTGTGATGATTCTGTGTCTCGAGGAATGTTGAAAGTTTCATAACTGGATCATTTAGCTGTGAACGTGAGACACTGCCGAAAATGACGGATAATTGTCTCTTTTTTGTTGAGAAAATCTTTTTAAATTAAAACATTAGTAATAGTTCTTAATTCTTTATTTCGCTAGAATGCAAGTCTTGATGAATTAACTGATTTTCTTGAATACATACGGAAAAATTCAATAGTTCTTGGTGCATTTGCTATGCGAGAAGCAGCACAAGTATCTGGAATAGATAGTGAAGCACTTTGCGATACCTTGGCAGTTAATGGATACAAAGAAGCACAGGATGTAAGCAAAAAACCAAATAACGAATCACAACAACAAGTGATGTTGAAATCGTTAGTTCACAAAGCATCCGGTTAGTAACCTTTTTAGGCGTTTTTTTGTCTACGTTTATTATAATTTTATTTATCGTAGGATAAGGTCTGATGATGTTGGTCCAGAACGATGGTCAAATGTTTGCAATAAAATTTCCCGACCTGGAGAACACCTCTTTAACAGAAAGACATTAGTCATCTCTTTCATAAATGTTTGTTACGCAATTCTTCTCATGACACTAATTATTGATCCCCACTTCTTGTCCTATTTTTACTTAGTGAATTTTGTTTTACGGGTTACATAACTGTAACATTAATGTCTTGTTCCTAAATAATTCTGTTTCTATTCTCTTAGTTTTGTATTCTACAATATTAATATATTAAACCTGTAAATACTCACATTATTTGGCTTATAAACATTTCTTCTAGTTCTTTTATAATCAATGCTTTTTTCATTAGTCTTCACTGATGAAAAATTTTCCGGTATTATGATATAATATATGTAAGGTGATTTTTGATGATTAATGTTATTATGTTTAAGTTGTAAAACAGATAACTAGAAACTATAAAATATAGTGATGTAATGCTATTTTGCCACGGTAATTGTTCTTGCTTTAGTCAAATTTATAAATGAGATATATTGTATGAAACAATTGAAATAGCTTAACTTCATTGTGGAGTAAACTTTTTAACAAAAAGTCATTTATTTTGTACCAAACTTCTTCGTAGTTTTGCAGACTCATGCAAATATCAATATAAAAACTTTCCAATTAGATTTCGTAACTTACAACATGATACGTGGGCATATACTTGATAATCGATTGATATTCCTTTTTTTTCAACAATTACTATTTTTTTGATTGAGATCATGAATCGATGAATGTTGGACAGCCGTTGGAAACCTGGAAGTAGTAGATGGGTGTTTCGCGCGCGAACACTTAACCTCTAGAGCACTGAGCCGGCATCCAGCGGTGTTAATGTCTAACTTCCATCGATCTATGAATGGCTGCGCAACCATTCGTCCATTGACTGAGGTAGATACCTGTCTCTATCCTACACAGATGGAACTTCACTGGTTATGACTTTTCACTAGAACTCCAGAAAATCATCTTGAAGTTAGTCACTAGTGAGACCGAAGGTCCTGTGTTCAGATCCCTCGTGCGATGTCATGGATACACACTGCCGAGGAGTTTCATACTAGAACAAAACGGCTGTTCAATGCTTCCAGGTTTTCATGATCTCAATCAAAAAATTTAACAATCTCCACAACTCCATACTGATAATATTTACCATTTACACATTGTGTAACATCTTCGAATATTCCAGCAATTTCTTAATATCTTTATGAATTAAACTTTTTGTATACATTTTTCTGGTTAGGTTTTCATACATATAATCAATCGTTTGCTGAAATAGGTACTATTTCACTTGATTATTTGTCAAAGTTAGGCCAATTCTGAGATTCATTTTCGTCATGGAATAATATCAGCTGATACACTTTTAAAGCAAGGGGTCATTAACTAGTTATGATAACCGAGATTGGTACTACACCTTATTATTCAGTAGGCACTACCCAATTATGTATCGAACTGAGGACTGTAGAACTTAAATTTCCTAGAATTTTGTTTAATAAAAGAATATTATCAAAATCTAGTTCTAATTAAAAAGCTGTTTTCATCCTCATACTTCATATACCACATCATTCCGTACAAAATGTCATTAAGAGAATCTAGAGCGTTACAAAATTTTTATACATACTTATACAAATATATATGTATATACGCACATATCAGTAGTCAACTGTCAGTTACCAGCCAGTTATTATAGAACTCAGATGAGGGATTTAAATGATGACAACAAAATTTACGTACATCACACACAACTGTAAATTAGTCTTAATTTTGTAGAATGCTCGATCAGTCACTATTTGAATGAGAAATGTTGCGGGGTTTGACTTCCAATTTATTTGAATCCAGGCCAAATATTTTTAATAAACGTTAAATATCCTGATTTCCTGAATTGTACCTCAAAACTAAGTTGATAAGCTCGCACTTAATGACTGATTCACACCAATTCATATCAATATTCGGACTCGCACATAATAACGTTTAATTCTGTCGCATTAAATGTGTGTATTTGCATAAGTAATTTATTGTACAGCTTATCGTTTTTCTTATGTTATATGTTGCCCACTGATGTATTGTCACACCTATATATGCTCCTTGCTCACTGACTCATTCATCCAATCTCTCTTTATAATTGTTTCCTTATTCAGTTAATACGAATACTGATAGTTTAGATAATGAATTAGAAATGTTAACTCAAATTGTTACAAATAAAAATCATTCATGGATTACCAATGATGATCATGGTGAAACAGAAATGACAATAAAAACTCAAATAAATGTTAATAATGATGATAATTGTTGTAATCGAACATATTCAAAAGTGGAGGATTTAGTCGATTTCGGACCAGTGTATCGATGTTTACATATTCATTCTGTATTGAATGAACGAGCGGAATTTGAACGACATTATTGTACTCAACGACGAAAACAGTGTCAATTAATTTTGAGTTTATCACCAAATCAACAAGTAAGTCGTTGCTTTTATTGTGTACACTTATTATTGATATTGATAATATTATAATTATTTATATGAGTATGTTATTTTATATGCAAATCAATTAATACAAAGGACAGTCAGTTAAATGAAGGGAACACTCTTCAACAAGTTTATTTTTGAAGATGTACACTCGTGTTTATTTATTTCAAATTAAGATTCTAAATATAGTTAGTAAAGTAAAATGTAAAAGATCAATTTTGTCTTCTATCCCGAGATTTTTAATAGATTCCGGATATTTCCACACAAATCTACCCATCGATATAATTTTAAATTCATTTGAAGATTTTTAGAAATTTACTACTTTTTAAATTGCAAAATTATAAAGATTGTTTAAGCTAGAATTCTTTGAGATGGTGGAGAAGATTTGTAGCTCAGGTGGATGATTTTGATAGAGTTTTGTTCTCTGAGCTGGATGGTCTGGTCTTGGAGCTTTCATCGTTATTCTGAAAGACATCATTAGCACAAACTTCAAGTAGAGTGAAGTGTTCGAATTTCTCCACATGTGGTTCACAGTTTGTCCTGTAGACCTTCATGTTGATTGGCTATTGCTGACCTTTAAACTGTCATTGTTTGCATTATTTTGATTGTATCTCCCATTGATTTGATTCTTGGTCCTAATTTGTCCATAATTTCTCTGATTGGTTGGTAAACTGGATCGATTTCAATGTGTTTGTTGGTTGGTGATTGACCTGAGTGCTAAGCTTCTAAAACTTCTGGTGTTTTTAAAATTCCCTCTACCCGAGATCTCAACATTCTTCTAGTCGAATGTGTGTCCACAGTTGTCCACATGCACTGATATAAGTGAGGATATGTCATGGCGTTTGACTGCTAATTGATGTTCATGCAGGCGAAGATGAATTGGGCGTCCACTTTGTCCAATGTAATGTTTTTCATACTTGGAACAATTTACTTTGTAGATGATGTTCGGTTTTTCTTCTTTTTTCACTTCGTCCTTTGGTTTGCATAGGATTGATTGAAGTGGTTTTTTTGGTTTGTGTTCTACACCTGTTCCAAAAGGCTTCAACAATCTCTTAATTTCTGATATGCCTTTTACATATGGTTCGATGATCTGTTTGTTGGTTTTTGTACCTGATTTTGTTTCCGCTGATGCGTTCGGTTGGTATTTTTTGACGAAGTTGGTTGAGTAGCCGTTCTTTTAAAAGATAGTCTTTATATAATTTTCCGCCCTGCTAGTGTGTTGCAGTGTGTCCTCACCCTCTTGAACAAAGTTTGTACGCAATTGATTTTGTAAGCTCTTGGGTTGTTGCTACTGTAATTGAGAATTTGGTCTGTGTGGGTCGGTTTCCGATATACTTAAGTCTCCAGTTTTCCTGTGTTGGTTCTGGTGATTAATTGTCCAAGAATGGTAGTTTGTTGTTTGACTCTTGTTCCATTGTGAGCTTGATATCATCAAAGACGTTGTTAATCAGGTTGTAGGTGTTTTCCAGCTCATCCTTTTTGACAATAACGAATGTGTCGTCCACATAACCAATCCAAAGTTTTGGCTTGATCACTGGTCAAGTCGAGGCTTCCAGTCTCTTCATCACTGCTTCTGCAATAAGTCTTGATATTAGTAATCCCATCGGTGTTCTTTTCGTTCGTTCGTAGATTTTGTTGTTGAATTGAAAATATATTGTTAAATATAATCCGATGAGTTCTAGTAGACCTTGGATTTGAAGCTTCGTGTACTTTGGGGGATTTGTGTCGTTGATCAGAAGTAAAGATAGAGTTTCTTTTTCTAAGCTTGGTTAAATTGTAGTGAATAAGGCTGTTACGTTGGAGGATATAATCGGTTCGTCGTTGTTAATTTGAATGTCCTTAATCTTGTTTCGGAATTGTATGGGAGATTTGACGGAGTGATTAGATGAATCCAATAAATGTTTCAATATTCGTGAAATTTCTGTTGACAAATTGTGTTACAACTTTATGAATTTTATTATGTTCTAAACTTTTCATGAACACAAGGCTGTCGATTTCACTCTAAGTGAAAAACTCGTTGAGTTTGTGACTGTTTATCAACTAAGGGGGTTGGAATATATATTACGTATGCCTAAGCAACCATTATCTACTTCGATGGACAGTGTTAGTTAACTGGTATGGAAATAGGTTCAAAGAAAGCTTATGGGGCCGACCAACGAAAACGTAATACTGGTTCATGGAATTATTAACTGTTGGTCTGGTCTACGTCGATAAATGAAGATTATCCGACTTTAGTCCACATAATAATTACAATCATTGTTCGGAGATATCGTATGACATGGCTCATAATAGATTACAATACCACAGATGCATTGCTTACTTATATCGCTCTATATCTTAAGTTTTAGCATGTCCTTATACGTACCTTCTCATTCTGTCATTTACAACCATATTCTCGAAAGTTACCCTTATCATCATAGTGAATAAATTATTTCTGTTTTTTGTTATTCGATTTGTTGGTTCCATATCGTCTTGCTAATGTGATTTGATAAGCAAGGCTAACAAATATTTGTATCATGATCTACGTTGTTTATGATTAATTGACTTACCAAATGATTGATATAGCTTTGTGTGGAGGAGAAAATGGCGGAATCACATATTCGTTTATTCTATTGGATTAGTTCAGTTTATTTTTACAATTTTAAATCTCCACAAATCCCCTATATTAAGTTGACTTTTGATTATCATAAGAAAAATTATAATTAGTTTTGTGTAGTTGTTTTCTTGGAAATTTTTTTCAAAAATGAAAAACAAATGTTTACATCCCAGTTGTATTATTGTTTTATTTTCTTTGATATCTTAGAGATACTGTTATTGTATAGTTCATTGTTTGATCAACTTTGTCCTTCCTTTTATCAATATTTTCATTTTGAATAGTAGTGGTATGTTGGAAATGTATGTTTCATCATTCAACAGATTTTTAAATACTTCTATAAATATTGAATCGTTGACCGCTCTGTATTTCAGTTTAAATGAGAAAACTAAAAGTTTTTAGGTTATGTATAATTCATTCACCAGAGAACTACATAGAAAGAAACATACATCATTGATCCTATGTAGATAGCTATTGTCAGTATCACTTTCTAAATATAAATATAATCTCATATTTTATCTTGCAATTATAATTACTTTTAATTAAAAAATGATTAAAAATTTCTTTCTAACAAGTTCACAGCTCAATAATTTACTGAGAATTAATCAACTGAAGGTCATTTATTGGTACTATGTGTTTGTGTGTACTCAATTCAATGGTTATCTTACATTAAAATACTAATAAGAATTAGCATGTGAATCAAATTTCATTGGTATCCTATAATGCATTGTGTTTTGTAATGAATAATTTAGAATGCATCACATGTATACTACTACTACTACTACTACTACTAATAATAATAATAATAATAATAATAATAATAATAACCACACTACACTTATGAAAGTGAAATTAGTTTATACAAAAATAAGCCGATTCGTATGCTTGATTATGAATATTAGTCTCAATGGTGAGTTTGTTTATTTTTAAGTACTTTTTTCTCTTAAAAAGAAGTGTATTACATTTTATAATTCAGTTGCTTGTTAATAAAGAATTTTTTTTCGTGAAAATCGTTTGTTTTTCCCCCTAACATATAGGTAGGTGTGTGATGATGATGATCACTATCAGCTATCTAGTGTATTGTACATTAATTTTCACATTTCAGATTAGCATCAGTCTATCTTGTTAAGATATATAGTTGATGAATAACTTATGGATTCCATTAAAATCTGAGCACCAAATATCGAAATTCTACTGGGAAGTAAAAATGGTGAAGCAGAGTGCTAGACAACTTTTTGGAACTATTTATCAGTACGCATTCATTAGGGATTGTAAGTAGAAATTTCAGATTTCTCAGCAAATACTTAACCATTAAAACCACTGAGTCGGTGTCTGGTGGTACGGTTTCAACTTTACACAATTTTTTATATAGAGCAGCGATCACTCGATCCTAGTGATAACAACTGTTTCACTTTCGATGTGGCTGAAATTTTCAGGTAACGACATCTCACCAAATTTTTAGAAATATATTAAGGCAAGTTATTAGTGAACTGATTACTATACTTCCGTTGAATAGAATTTATTGAGATTAATTTATTGGTTTCATTTGAGATGGACTGATCCCTGTTGATATATCGATAAATGCGAAAATTTATTTGTGGTTTCTAGAAGTTTAGGCTTTATAAGGAAGAGTTTACTGTATTATTAAAGATGTATATAATGTATAAATGCAAAGGCCTGTAAACTGCTTACTTACTTACTGCTTACTTACTGCTTACTTACTTACTTGTTCACTTGTGTAACGTATATCCAATTACTGCCTACCTCACTAGGTAATGTTGTCTGTTGCACTAGTAGGCTGAAAGAAAGCTAGTGACGGTCAAATCAAGACATGGTACCAATATGTGAAGTGATTGACAATTGTACTGAGTCATGTGAATAGCTATCGACTACCTACTTGGGCTCCACAGGTTTATCGTAACTACTTGTTAGGGACTGTGGGTGACATCGCTCGACATCATCTGCAATGGTGCAAGTACATCCACTCTGTTTTTGTTCAGAAACTGAATCCCGAAATCTTACACATTATTTTTTTTTTCCACACCTATTCTTTTCGACTAATACTGATTCGGCTACCACTTCTTCTACTTTGAGATTTGTCGTAAAATAATTTTATTTTACTGTGCTGATGCGGTGTGGCAAATTGAATCGTTGCACGTGTCATGTTTTATGTTTTGTGGATCTGATTGACTGACTGACAATGACTAACAGACACACCTGTGGTGCTTAGGTGCTAAAACTGAATAACATTCTAGTGTATATAGTTCTTAAATGATTGTTGTGATGGGCAATGTCCCATAACCCGACCGTTGTTGCTACCTTGACGTGGTGGTCGGGCTTGCCTATCGTGATGAAGCAACCGAGCTATACTGGCGGGAACAACCGTTCCTCAAGGTCC